ACTACCCATCTGGTGCTATCAATGGTACGAATGACGATGTAGCAATCAGACCATGGTACAGATATGGATGACAACTAGAATTAGAATGATACGCGGATGTCTATGGTCTCGAACAGCCTGCCGCATGTCACAAAATCCTCATCCACGAGCACAACAGCAAGGCCTCCAGGGCCTATAAATTCCTGAAGCCCTGAATGCACCCAAATAGCTGCCAGGGCTCGCATCAGGCATTGATAAACACAAACGGTCAAAAGAAGATAGATCCTCCAAAAAGGTTTCGCTTAGACGGTTCCATTCGGTACATAATGACTGGAGAAGCCCTTCCCCAACTACCATTATAGAATATACGTAGGTGTATATACAAACACACAAACATATTACGGTCCATGGTAGCTCCTGACTCTTTCTCACGAAAACTGCTGTTAAACATGTTGGGGAAAGACCACTTCAGATTTTGGGAAGCACTAAAGCGTTAAACATGAGAAAGGTTTCGATCGCCGAGCAGCGGCTTCTGCGACTCCGTGCCCAAAGCTGCCAGATGCCGCGCCTCCAAGGCATCGAGTTGGTCCTGCGCTGTTGAAAGAACACTTGAAAGCCTAATTGAGTTTGTGGTTTATAGAATTTAAGGCTTCAGTTTGTGTTTTAGGTCAAGTTTAGGGTTTAGGGCCTCTTTCTGCTGATCGTTCTCCCCCTCTGTGTACGTCTTTTGTGTGGCCCATAGCTGAGGCACTGCCTATGTAAACGACACCGAGATGAGGCGCTGTCTATGTATGTGACTGTCGCGCATAAAAGTCAGTCCGCGATATATAGATACCACCTCAGACAATGTCTAAATATGTGTTGAGTTGTGCATGCTGGGATTCCGCGCTGGAGGCATTGATGCCGAATTGACGCATCCACGAACCAGATTAATGTGTATGTGTATTTGCGATTGCGAACCAAGCATTCCGACAACAACAGCTGTGGCAAGACCTAAACTCCCAAACCAACCAAGGTGGCTTGGTAGCTTCGCCTGAAAACTTAGGCAAGTTTGCCAAGTTGCGTCAAGCCTTGGCGAAGCAAACTAGTTATAGGGCGTAGTTTCAGTTCTGCCTAGAGTCTATAGTAAGAGAGTCATAGAGCACTTGCGCACTGTCGGGCTTATTGAAATTCGAAAATCTCCAGAATACTACGGCCTGTTTCCAAAGACTCGACGTCAGATGCGCCGCGCATAGAATCCATTTGAGGAGGTTGGCTCGGGCCTTTCTCCTAGCCGAAGAAGGGGATACTATAGGGGCCTTTATTAATCAGAATCACAATAGGGTTTTGGGGCGCGTTCTAATTACTAGAGTTATAATAAGGAACCCCCAAGATAATTTAGGTAATTATCCAGGCTCCTACATTACGAGACTCCTCTGATTCTGCGAAGCTACAGACTGGAGAGCGGTTCGGGGATGTGGTACATACCAGCCTGCATGTTTCGGACGTATTGACGGCTTTTGTTGGCTTTCCCCCGATAATTATTGGGGGGGTGCTTTCCCATCCGAATTTCCAGGAAACCTGTCAAATGCCAAAGTGGTCATGGTTTTGTAATATACGCCATCTTAATCCATCTGAGCTTCGAGACTTTTGGATTTCTTGGGTCAAAAGGGGGAGGGCTGAGTGCTCGGGAAGTTTTGGACCGTCCAGCAGCGGAACGAGGAGGTGAGAGTGCTGGGGCTGCAGCACGAAGCTCACCTTGGCTTGTTGCGGATGGTTGCCACTGCGGTACAGAGACTGCCCCAAGACGTATGCCACGTTCCGCATATACACTCCTACTCGTACGATGTGCAACATATTGCAGTTGTGGCAAGTGCTGTAACTGAGGGCCCCAGGTTCTTTCTCATGCCCATTCGAAGGCAAACTCGCGGTAATGTCATGCAGTGATCAGTTGCTTTTTATGTCCAATCCCAGTCGAAAAATTCTAGCAATCGCACTACATGCCTCAATCTCTTCAAAATTTCTATTTCCCGGCAGCAACCAAGTCGCCAGCATCTCCCACAACTCTGGATCCTTCCAAGAGAAGGCGTTGGGTGCATCAGAAAATAGATGTGCCAGGCACAAGGGTCTGGTTCTCTCGAGAAAAGTTGGCCGGTACTCATAGCAGTGGCATTTAGCAATGAGCAGTTGTACTGGTCATGGCACTATGCAGAGACGATACCAGATTTACTGGCATGCCAATTCCAAAACCTCTTAAGCGATCTGGTCAGCGACCACCCGACTCTTCAACCCATCTCTCTCTCTCTCTCTCTCTCTCTCTCTCTCTCTCTCTCTCTTTCTCTATCTGTCTATCTCTCTCTCTCGCGGACTCAGACTCCTCAACCCATCCTACGTGCTTTCTTAACATCGTAACATCAACGGCATTCAGTCTCTGTGCCATTTCGTCTTGCTTGCTTTTGTTTGCATCAGAAGTTTCGAGTATGAACAAGACCATCTCTATGCTGTCGTCACTTTTGCTTCTGGGACAGCGATGAGAGAACCATTGCTGCTGCGATGATGAAAAATGGCACTGCTACTGCTACTGCTACTAACTACTATTAACTACTATTAACTACTATTAACTACTACTAGCTACTATTAACTACTATTAACTACTATTAACTACTACTACTACTACTACTACTACTACTACTACTACTACTACTACTACTACTGCTACTGCTACTGCTACTGCTACTACTACTACTCCTGCTGCTGCTGCTACTACGACGACGACGACTACTACTACTACTACCGCTGCTGCTCCTGGCTCACAAAACCCTCTTCTCATAATATACTGAGGGCTCCGGACCGGAAACTTACCTTTGGTTAGTAGGGAATGGAGGAATGGGGTGCAAATATACCTACTATTACTATCATTCTTCCACTCCCTACTAGTTAAAGGTAAGTAAAGCACTTCAATGCGGCGCCTGCGTCTCTGCTGCGAACTCCACGGCCTGGCGGACATCGCCCACCTCCTCCAAAAGGATCCTGGCTTCATTGAAGTTTCGGGTTCAGGGGTTTAGGAGTTTAGGGCTTTAGCAGTTTACGCTCTCGCAACTCGGACACAGCCAGACGAGGTTTTGGGGTTTCGGGTTTAGGCTTTGGGGATTTTCTTTCCGTTCTGCTCGGTTTACATGGGGTTTTAAGGTTTTTTTCTGTCCTACTTAATAAGGAAGAGCCGCATTCAGGGTAAGTCAGGGTTCTTTTTCCCTCAGTCAGGGTTCAGGTTGTGGGGTCGTGTTTCTAAAGCTTAAAGGCCTCATTTACGTCCCGCGCCTGAGGGCGTCGGCCACACGCCCTGCACGGCCGAGAAGGTATGCAACTTCTTGACCTCAGCAACACATCAGGCAGATCAGCATGATGAACGATCCGGAGCAATAACAAGGGGCCTACAAATTCAGAATACTGATTTGGGTTGTACTGTAGTTTGTTCAGTGTTAGCAGGGGCCATACTCCTTTTGAATCATCGGCTTCACTTCATCCGATGGCGTCTGGCCGGCTCGGCACTTGCCGTTGAGGCTTCAGCTTCAACGCATAGCTCCGGCTTGGCTTATATAATATATAGGGCTTTGGGATTAAAACCACACAATCTGTGAACGATGGTGTCCCATGCACGGTGTGGGGCCTTGCCGCAAATTCGAGTCTGGGACACACGGAAAAACAAAGCAGCTGGAAAACGATCTCGGTCACAAAAGCTCCGGCCGTGTTCCAGCCGCGACCTTTCCCATACTTACAAACGAGTCCATTAACGCGACGAGCTCTGACCCATACCGTGCACCCGACTCTGCGCATGTTTGCCTGGGAAAGACGCTACAAACAGACCTACAACTGACTTTTTCTCTGGGGCCAAGGCGTAAGCCTTTCCGCTGGCACACTTCCAGTGCCTGTCAGTGCAACCGAAACATGCCAAAACAACAAGACAGAACCTTGCACCTCTGCCATTTGTGTAAGCTTGCTATACACATTGTGCAGATCATACACAAGTGCCGAGCTCCTGGAACACCCTTCTACAACTGCACTACTGCAAATAGGCACACAAACTATGAGCTGGCCCCACAAGTCTTCGAAGCTCCGGGGCGGCCGTCGGCCCATCTTCACTCCACGACGCTACAAGCTTCCCTGCCCGGAAAAATCGGCTTTTCACTCTAAACTTCCCTAAACCCTAAACCCTTTTTGCATCTAGATTTGTGAAATCCACCATAAAAGCAAGAACTCCAAAACCCAAAACAGCGAAGCTCAGAGCCTGATCCAGAGGGTAGCGCTCGCTGGCCCGGAGGAACGGCTGCAAACCGGAAGGATCCTCAGGGTGTGCTTTGGTTGGTGTAAATACGGGCCAGGGTTTGGAGGTATAGCTCGCACGTATAGAACGTGTATATGTGTCTGGTTTACATATCTATCCTTTCTGACTTATCTGTCGCTCTATCGATCAATCTCTCTCTCTCTCTCTCTCTCTCTCTCTCTCCCCTCCCCTGTATGAATATATTGAAGAACCCCCAGGACGTGCATTCGTATTTAGTCACGGCCCTATTTCATGGTTCAATTTGTTCTGCTCAGGCGGAGGCGTTTTAATTGGACATGAATGTGCAGAGCACATTTCGGTGCCAAGCAACGTACTCGGCAAAAAGCTCCACCATCTGCAAGTGGTAGCCTGCTGCCAGATGACTTGCTGCATGTCCGCGGTTTCCCAAAACAGGGGACCCTAATATGGTACCCTAAATAGTAGGATCCTCATTATAAGGACCCCATAGTAAGGTACCCCCAATTTTCGGAAACTCCCAGTTGACAACGAAACACTATGACGAGGGCGGCGAGGAGCCTTGGCCAGCAATCTCGTCCAGTGCGAACAACTGCTTCAAGTACCTTGCATCTTGTGCGTAGTGGCATAGGGAGCCATAGGCACAACACTCAACATCAGTACTACCCCACACCATCTGGGTTCGGGCTTGAGGGCTTCTAATCCCCTGCCCACATGTCACATGGCTCCAACTGAAATGGGCCATTCAATGCAAGGTCTTCTGGCCCAGCCGCTCATGCTTCCAGCGAGTCTCACACTCCTCCAATGTGGACATAACGTGGTCCACTGGCAAGGAGGCGCGGCAAGCCACCGCCAGCTCACAGGCCTGTTTGTCATCGACCTGCCATGGCTGCACAACTCTCCAGAGCTGGACACTCAACAACCCGAATGGCTTTCATGGGGGATTGCCGCGAACAGCACATGGACCGCAGATAAGACAGAATCTCAGCAGGACTTTGACATTGCCACTGCAGGTACTTGCAGCCCAGCATGTGGGAGTTTCCGAAAATAGGGGACCCTATGATAGTACCCTAAATAGTGGACCCAAACATAAGGCACCCCTACTTTTCGGAAACTCCCATGTGTACCCACATCACCTGAGCGCAGGAGTGGCCGCCGGCCTCGAAGAACTGCTGCAACTTTGGCAGCAACCACTTCGCGGGGTCATGCCCGGCAGAGATCAGCCGGCGCAGCATCTTGAAAACCTGCCCAAGGGCAGGGTTTAGGGTTTAGGGTTTAAGGTTTAGGGGTTTAGGTTTAGGGGTTTAGGGTTTAGGGGAGAAGGATAACACAAGCTCAGATCATCTATGGGATCTGAACCTCCTGGTTCTCTTGGCAGGCGGGGCTTTCGAAATGTGTGGGAAAGGTCGTCCTCGAACTTGGGTGCCTTGGAGGGTCCTATCAGGAAAGGGTTCTTAGGTAGGGGCGACAGTAGCCTTTGCCTACGACCGTTTCAGCAAGTGAAGAGCCCCAGCCTAGATTTGATAGATAGTCAGTGATCATAGGATCCATGTTATGAGGTCCCCAGATAAGAAGTTAAACCACAGGTCGAGGCGGACTGAGCCCAAGGAACATGCCCTGAAAGGAATCCTACAGCCTGAAAGGAAACCCTTAAAGGAACCCCTGGCCCTTGAACGCCTCGGAGCTGCTGAGCTTCAAAAGCCTTTGTGTTGGGACAGCTGCTGGTATCTTCGGAGCTGGAGTTCGCAGGGAATCATAGTCAGGGAGGTGCATTTAAAGCCTTTGAAACATATTAGTAGGTAAGATCCTCTTAAGCCCAGTAAGAGCTAATATAAAAGGTCCCAAAGCCATACCTAGTAGTCCTACTGTCGGCCTGAAGGGGTGGAGTTTCTCGGGAATCATAAAGGTCACTGCAGTTGCAGTCGAAGCATACGAACAAAGGTGCAGCTAGAAGGGAACCCGCTGGGAAAGCGCGGCTGCGTGCAAGAGAGCGGTCAAGTCTACCTGTCCTGTATCCTAGGCCAACTAAGAGTTAGCCCCGTTGGGTTTTGTAGCATATAGGGACGATGGTAGCCCAAGAAGGTTAAAGGCTAATTACCTGTACCAAACTGCTAAGAAGTCGGCCACGGCACAGCTCCACAGCCAGGTCAGGGTCAGTGTTCTCCGACAGCCGTGCCAGAGCTTCTGCACGACAGCGGTCCTCCTCGTCTGGGTGCTCACCACAGCAAGAAACGGCTGAAAACGAAGCACTGGACTTTGAACATGCGGAACAACTGTCAACACGTGCTCAACTTCTGCAGTGCAGGGGTAGGATCTACACCTTCACGGACAAAACAATTCCACTCGCACCTTCCTTGATGTTCTGCAAAGACGTGCATCTGCACTCGGGACGCTTGCATCGCATCGTAGAACCATCACAACACTCCATAAGATCGTGCGGTGCGAGAAATCCCAATTCTGATGCCGTACAGGTGGTCCTGTGAAAGCTCCGTCGAGCTCGTAAAGGAAGGAGCATCTTGGCGCAAGATCGCCTGGACGAGGCACGCCATGTAGCAGGAACATGTTCATTGTAACAGTATGGTAGCACGGTGTCGGAAACATCGGATCGCCGGATCGCGACACAAGCGACGCGTACTGTACCAAGATGTCTTTGTGCTCACTGAACTGTCTGTGGCTGCAGGAAGCAGCAGTGAGGGTGCGTGCTTGAGCACAGGTTGCATGCAGGGAGTGTACAGTAAGCCGACAGCACCCGCAAGGCAGGTGTGGGAACCCACACCAAAACGCAAAGTTGACATGTGCGCCAGGCGTGACTCTCGATGGAGTTTTTTTAGGAACCCCTGCGATATCCAAAGAAGCTGCTTTTTTGCAGTTGGTAATCTAGGCTGCCAAGTTTGTCAGCGAAACCGTTCCTTTGCCTGAAGATCGCTGGTCGAAAAAATGTCGTTCGGCCAGTAGGCGAGCACCTGAAGTTTTGGGTCTCTGGGCAGGGCTCCCAGGTGGGGTTCGGCTTGTGCCAATGGAGATTCAAGAGTCTGAAGTTGAGTCGAAAAAGCGCAAACCAACGGCTTCGCTCGGTTGCCGATCGCAGTGTGAACACCACGCAATGTGATCTGACCGAATTAAATCGACAGCTCGGTAGAATTCTGGGTTTGCAAGCTTTCTTCCGAGCGGCTGCAACCAAGGCCGATGGGTAATGCACCAAACGCCGCAAAGCATCGTCGTAGACCTGGTTCATCGGGCTCTGCGCAACCCGTTCCCCTTTCCGCAAAGTGAACACATCATGGGCCGAAATAAATGGTCGACTACATCTGAACCTGAAAGTTGCGATCAATTCAGATGGGCCTACCACAAAGGAGCCAAGCAACTACGGGACCTCCTGGTGGGATTCGCGTCGTATGAATATCTACATATTCAGCCTTCTTGAATCCTGGGGGGCTCAAGACCGGAAGCTCCCTCCATCCTCCTAAAGCCGACTTGTGCCCCGGCCTCGTTAGGTAGCTGCTCCTTAGGAGGTACCGGAAGCTGCAACGCCAGGTGGGGCAGTGCCTTTGGCATCGTGGCAGGCGGAGCGATCCGGTTTTCAGGGCCTTCCTACCCTTGCTTAGCTAATGGAAGAATGGTAGTAACTTAGTAATGGTAGTTACAAATTGTACCCTATCCCTCCATTCCCTACGAAGCCTACTAAGCAAAGGTAAGCCTTGGCATGCTTCAAGACGAGGTCTTGGGAACAAAAAGCTGCGGTTTGCTAACTCGAAGCCAGGTAGAGACACTCCAAATCTGCCAATCAAGGATCTCTTGGTGCGTCTTGTAATATAGTATCATTTCATATAGTATCGTATAATATGGCATCATATAATATACGTAGTATCGTATACGTAATATGGTATCATGTCATGTAGCAATATCTGTGTTGCACTCCAGGCTTGGAGCACCTGGGAATCGGAAGCTTGATAGGCTCTGTCATGCTTTCGTGTCTCCGCGCACATAGAATCGGAGTGGCTCTTTCAAGCTTCGTGTTGTCAACCGGCTTATGGTGAGAGACATCTCATCTTCAGGTTTCCAGTTGCTTATGCCCAAGCTTGGATTCAGAATCTCACCCCGGATCAGCTGCCCCCTGCGACCTTGGAGCCGAGGGCCAAAAAAGCCCTAAATCTGAAACTCCAAGCCCTGACACCTCGAATCTGCACTCTAAGACTCCAAATCGCCTACATCAACCTAAAGCCCTACCCTAACCTCCAAATCCCTAAACCTCCCTATATAGCCCTCACCCCGCTAGATTCGAAGGTGGCGCCCCTGCGCGGTCGAAAAGGACCAGCGACTCCTTCAGATGGTGGCGGGATTCCGATATCCGTTTCGTTATGAAGCTGCGAGCGTGCGTGTCTATACACATGTGTCCATATGTGTGCGCCTATGTATGCACTTATCTATGTGCCGGTACTCTGCTTTATCCGTCTTTGCAGTTTTGATGGGATCTATGAAACTACGCAATGGGCCAAGTTGTCCAGAGTTGTATGGGGTTTATACGATGCTAAGGGCTCAAAGATGAAGCTGCACATGGTTTTATGGGTAGTTTAGTTTAGATCACTCTCCCCTTTGGCAGTTTGGGTGGGGCGTCCCGCGTCAGCATCTTCGCCACGTGCTTTCCGACAGCCTCCGTGTCTGCGGTGGTGCAGGTTCCCAAAGGCCCCAAAGTAGTTCCTTTTTGGGGTTCATATATAGAATCCTACAAGGTAATCCCCAAAAGGAACTACTTTGGGGCCTCTGAGTAGTTTCGCAATCTCGAACAGGACCTGCTTCGTTCAAGCATGGTTCAGGCAGTGCCTGACGTGCTCCAATCAAATGGCAGGTGTCAAAGATTGGCATCGCAAGCGCAGCCCCATTCCATTGCGCCTCGCGGCTACTACAGTATACTTGTGTATAGTATAGTAAGCTATAGTAGAGCAATACTAGGTAGCATATTGTAGTATTCATAGACCAGTCTCCAGGCGAGCCGCGACAGCGGCTCGGAAGGCAGCACTCGAGGCTTTGAGCTAGGAGCGTCGTTTTTCGGCACTCGCTCTCGGACTGGCCCTCAGCCCTTGTGGCTTTGGGGTTTAGAGGTATGCCTCGAAATGGTACTGGCAACTACTTGCTTAAGCCGCTACATTGGAACTTTCAGAAAAAGTGGAACCTCTGCCGGGCGTAGTTGCGTAGTCCGTTGAAGACTGCTAATATGGCAGGTTAGGACATTGCTTCCACCAGAAACAAGCGGCGCCCAACATCATTTTAAGCAGCAAGCACAACTATAGCGACGGAAAGTGATCCTTATCCTCTGTGTCGGGGTTTCGCAGGTACGGCCCGAACACCCCAGAATACTTGCAAATACTTGCAACATCCCCTACGTCGACATCATCAAAAACACACGAACCCGTTCTTGCAGAGTCCTGCCAGGTAGGTGCTTCCAGATGTCCTGAGCTTTGTCCAGAGCTTTAGCATTAAACTTGCTTTGGGTTAGAAGGGAATGGAAGAATGGTAGTAATAGTAGCCATAATTGTACCCCATTCCTCCATTCCCTACTAACCAAGGCTAAGTAAGAGACTCACCAAATGCGATTTTGGCCCTCTTGTGGATCCCAGGCTGTAGCCTCGAACTAGACCCACTCGGAATTCTGAACATCTCTGAACCCTCGCCACCTCGAAAAGCCAAGCCCCTTGACCCCAAACCTCCAAAATTAAACCCCTCTACGACTCTCGGAGCGATTACATGCTTGCACTTTCTTCAGCCTCTGAACACGACTTGAGAGCCCCCTCCAGGTGTGGGAATTGCTCCCATCTACAGGAAACCTTAAGCCCTGAAGTTGGAACCAACGAATATAGCAATGTTTGTTCCTATTTCTGCTACTGCCGTGGAACGAAACTGCTGTTATTGATGTGGATTTGATCACCAGTGCTACGACGATCGCTTTTAATGCTATTACGGCCTACTACTGCTGTTGCTGCTACTGCTGCCATGACGAAGACGAGTTTTGCTACTGCAAGCGGCCGCGCTTCATGGCATTCTCACCATGAGTATGAATGTTTAGGACATGGTGCTGCTGCTATGGCTTTCTAAATATTTTCTGAATAAAAGTTATCATAACGGCTATTATCGGCTATTACTATGTGGGCAAATCCTCAGGAGTAGCTGCCCAAGTCTCTAAAACGCTGCAAAGTTTGGCAAGCTCGCACGAAGTTCCCATCCTTGACGTCGGGCGTTAAACACCTCGCATTGGCTTCAGGAAGAATTCGGTTTGGCTTCTGGCCTTACAGCTGTGTTATAGCTTGGTACATCGTGCAACTTCAATTCCCAAACACCTCATAACAGTAAACCCTAGTCTAAGCAGCAAAACCTCCAACTCTGCATTGCCACCAAAGGCAAAACCTGCATGCCAACATCCCAAATACATGTAATTGAAGAGCAACAACCCGCATCCGAAACCCGAAACCCCAATATTCCAGAAGCCCTACCACCTAGCCCCGAAACCCTGCCGGGATACTTCAGGCAGACGATGTGCCGCAGGCCCTGGATGCCCTCACCGCCTCCATTGGCCAAGCGGATAGCTTCATCGAAGTTCCCCTCTTCGAGAAGCTGCACCGCCTCAGCAAGTAATAAAACTTCTCGCTCGTCTTTGTGCGACTAAGGGTATCGGTGTTAGACTTGGTATTCCTGTCTTTTTGGCAGGACAGAACCTTCTAAACCTCTTTCTCGAGTACCTTCTCTGACCTCTGCCTGTCGCCTGTGTCAAGCATATATCGCCTTATGCAGCACTCATGACTGCACAGACAGCAAACCGCTGACTTTCGTGGATCACACGCACCCTCAGAGGCCCCGCAATACAGGAGGAATCGCCTGGAAATAACTGGTCATTGCACCAACGCGAAGCTGTTGCAGAGCTGCATAGGTAGTGCAGCATCACCACATGCATTGGGAGAGTTCGTGCGCACAGCATCTCGTCCAAGCAGCATACTCCAGGAGGTCCCTGATCTGGAACCTCAGTGACTCAGGCCAGAGGACCTAAACCCAGCGGCCTTACTCCGAACAGGAATGGCAATCGCCAAAGCCCTAAAACCATGAAGCCTCAAGGCCCCAGAAGCCCTAAACACCCCAAAGCCATCTAGACCAGGTTGGTCCTGGATAGAACCTCTTCGAAACATGTTCTGCAAGATGACCCTCTTAATCCCAGCATGGGTAGACATCAAATCCTCCCCTGGCCATCCTTGTCAACTCATGATTTATGATGGATATTTCGGGCTCCAAGCCCCGTTGATCTAACTATGCATAGGGCTATATAGTATTGGGGCAGGTTACGTCCTTCAGGCTTGCAGCTCAAATCAAGGCACTTGAGACTTGGGTTTCTGGGCTGGAGGAACACAGAGTTTGTTGTGAGACACAGGTTCTCACGTTCGAAAGCAAAGCACTTCGGAGTGTTTCCTAAACCCTAAACCCAAAGCCCTAAACCTAAACCGGCCAGAGCTGTAGGATTCTGGGTTTAAGGGGAAAGGTTTAGGGTTGAGGAACAATGGTCTAGAGT